CAATCATCGAAGCTTTATCATGTTCCAGGCATCTTCTTATCCACATCTAACCACTAAATCATTGCATTGTGTCTCAACATGGTTTAGAATGGCGAATTGGAGGAAGTAGAAGCTCTAGCGAGCTTACAAGTATCCTGTGAAACTTCTGTGCAAAGGAGATGTGGATTCCAATGAGTGGAATCAAATCTCCACCCAAGTTGAGTATGACAAGAGTGTCATTGATGAAATACAAAGTGGGTTACTCCGAGGTCCCACTGCAAATTCAGGCAGTGGTGCTTAAGCTTGATGTAGAGAATGGATGTCTCAGTTAGGCTTTGAGTGGATTTTGAATTTTGGATTAAGTTTAGTTATTGGTTTGAATTAGTCTTAGGTTAGATTAAGTTTGGTTGTGTTTTAGTAAGGTAGTTTTAGACGCCATTTAGTTGAAGCCCAAATCAAGTAGGATTTTAATTGATTTAAGTTCAATAGCCTAAATTGTACCCAATTCTAGGAATACATCAACTAATAAAAACATAAATTAATCTAGTTTTAACTTGAGTTAAAGCTAGGTCAACTTAAGTTCAATAAATTTTAAAGTTTTTTAAACTTAATCTCAGTTCAATTTAGTTTGTTGCTTTAATTAGGTCTTAATTTAGGTCTCTATTAAATTTAAAGTTCTATTTTGTTCGAATTAGTAATATATTAAGTGGAATATAAGTTAAGTTTAGACTAGCTTATGGCAAGCTAACATGAGGTTTAAAACATTTATATAAGTTAACTTAGATTTAATTATTTTTTATTCTTTTCAAGTTAAGTTGGCATTAGGTTTAAATCAATTCAAATTATATTTTATTTTATTTTAAGTTTAATTTAATTCAAACTTTCTTAGATTTGGTTTTTATTAACCTTGTTTTAATTTTAATTTTTAATTTGAGCAAAACATAACCTCCTCAAGCTACAAATCAATTGAGCCAAATTAAACCCAACTTGAGCTATGGTTTCCCAAATCCCAAATTTGAATTTATTATTGTACTACTAAACATATAGGGTGACCTAGAATCTAGTTGAGTTCACTTTGGACTTTAAAGGAATGGCTAAGCTTGGCAGACTGGGATCAACCAGCCAACTTAGAGCATTAAAAAAATGTCTTAATCCTAGATGGGATAGTCTAAGGGCCAGATAGAATTTTGTTGATCAAAAGTATGATCAACAGTTTTCTTTACAATCGAAGCAAAATTCATAGTTAGTTATGAAGCATCAAATCATGAAATATACCTCAAAATTTATCACTACACTATATATTGTGGATGTTATTGAGAGGTTATTGAAAATAAATTATGACAATAAAGGCACTGAGTTATATTCAAAAAGTAATAGAAGCTCATCTAAATCAAACCATTTTGAAAATAAAAATCATTATAAAATAAATGGTTCAGATTTTCAAGTATAAGTTGAATATATATTTATTATTCTTATGATTGTAGATCCACTTACAAAAATTTTACCATCTAAAATCTTGCATGTACAATGTGGCTTATATTGCTAAGTAAATTCATATAGATTCAAATACAATTATAAAAATTAATTGAATTTTTTTATTACTCTTTTGAGATATAATATTGGACTAGTTAAAAATAGGTATTATATATGATCACTTTGAAAATTTTTATGATACACCTTCAGACATGATCATGTCATTGATTATATTCATATTGTGATGATTGATGGGTCTTATTATAGGAACAATCACGACAATGATCTATTTGATCCTATATTAATATTATTGATGGATCAAATTATCTAAATATGCTACTTCATAAATATATAAAGTATTGAGATCTTAAAATGTTTAATAATGTATAATTATTTTTTAATATATGTGGTCCAACTAGGATATTGTTGAGAAACTTATAAGTCTAGACCAATATATATTAATTATAAATTGTTGGTTGTCTTAAATTTTAAGCCAATTAAAATTTTATCAAATGATGCCATATTTTTTGCATGGAATGTATTTTATGTAAAGTCTAGGTATTTATGTTATTTTGATGATGTGATAAAATAAAATGACAGACATTTTCTATATATAAGGTCACGGCGCTTATTCTAAAAGATTGATTCTCGTTTTACTTATATCTCATCTTGAATGAAAATAAAGTTCTCTCTCTCTCTCTCCCTCTCTTTGTCTCTCTCTCTCTCTCTCTCTCTCTCTCACTCTCTCCCTGTCACCCTCTCAAGAACAACGCTTTCCTCTTATTTGAATTTCAGTAGATTTGGTTATATCTCTAATTAGATTTCCTTAATGACCTGACATGAGATCTAGACATGATAAATTTATATATCATCTTCAGCTATTATGTGTAAAATTTGGCCAAGAAGAAAAGGGATGATTCTCTTTAAGCCACTAAATCATGATAGCTTGGTTCATCCATGTTAAGATTTGATATTGAAAAATGTTCCAAATTGGTGGTTTCATGAAAAAAAAAAGAATGCTTTCATCATAGGTCTAATCTTGTAACTCAAGCGCATTGAAGCGAGAGATGGATAATTTGATTTTGGCTTTACTTACTTCCGCATTACCCTTTTTCTTACTACAATAGCATTTTGCCCATCTCATAACCCTCATTAATAACAAAAACCATACTTTTTCTCTCATTTAGAAGCATAACTCTTTTAATTATCCTTAAATTCTATTTTCCCTATTCCCATCCCCTAGGAGACACTTCGATGCTTTGATTGCTCACCAAAATCCCTTAAAAACATAATATTTCGTACTTGTGCAGTCACCGTCTAGGCTTTTGGACTAGCTTTTAAAATAATTTATAATATTGAGCTATGGGTTCATGTTTTTTTGTGGTTATTGTATTGTAATGATAATTGACTATGGGGCATGAAAGTTCTTTTCATTGAGTTACACACACACGCGCACGCACACGCACACACATTTACCTATATCAACTTAAGAACTACTTGATGACATTAATCTAAAACATTTGAGCGGTACTCTCAAAGAAGAAATGACAACTCTAGGATGAATCTCTTTCTATTTTGAAGGATTAGACATAAATCATGTTTTACCCACTTAATGTACTTTATTATATTAGCTAATCAATAGCTATTGCATGCTTATCTTGTTTAATTAGAAGAATTTCGAACAAATAGTGTTTTAATTCATAATTCTACATTAGATATTAAAAAATTGTCCTAAGTCACTCGAATAGTGGATATAATTAACATAATCAAACAATATAAATTTTCTCGTGTCTATTTCTCCTCTTTTTTTTTTTTTTTTGACACAGAGAAACAATTGCCCCCCCACACAACAAATTCAGATTTTTATTTATATGGGAGGTCAATTTTGATCTTTTGCTCTTCTTGAAATGTCCTGAAATATCACTTTGTTCTTCATTGCCCCAACCCCACGACATATCAGTTTGCGCCCCACCCACCCCCCACCTGCCCCTCCAAACTGAAAAAAAAAAAGTGGTTGACTCTGACTCTGTGCTCATTTAATCTCAAAAGTAAATCAACTTTCATTTTTTTATAATGAAATGAAATATAAATTTAATTTTATGCATTTGATGAGAGTAGATTAAGAAGTTCATTAATTTACAAAGAAGACTAATGAGTAAACGAACGTGATGAGAAGAAAACGACATTACAAGGAAAATGTGTTTTCCCAGCAATTTATACAGGTAATCATGCATTTGATGAGAGTAGATTAAGAAGTTCATTAATTGACAAAGAAGACTAATGAGGAAACGAACGTGATGAGAAGAAAACGACATTACGAAGAAAATGTGTTTTCCCAGCACTTTATACAGATAATCACGCAATTTATACAGGTAATCATAGCGGTAAAAATCCTTGTTATTTTCATTTCTGCGGATTTTTAATCGATGCAATTGTTAGCATTGCAAAGTCTTCTAGTTGTGGTTTTAAATATTCTTATGTGCTTTTTTAATATTTTTACCAATGTATTTTTAAAATACTTTTTAGAAGTGCGGCCAAATTTTTTTTTTTTTAGTAGTGTAACAAATGAAAAAAAAGGTAACTTGAGTTACTGATTGGGAACTTAGTTCTGTCAGGGGGAATAGAAAAATTTATATCATGATAATTCTTTCATTTAATGATCATTAATTGGTCTAAAAAATGCCCATATTAGCTTACAAAATTCATGTCATAGATCACATACATCAATGTTTTTATTATTTCCTAACGACAGAGATCCACAAGCAATAATCTCTCCTTAGATAATAGTGATAATGTCATGCATTTTTTATGGTATATAAGATTGATAGTTCAGCTTTAAGGGTAGATTTTGCAGCACATACGTTTGTTCCATTCACCTTCCCATGCGGGTCATACTGTTCAAAACACTATATTACTGTTAAACTAGTCTCATGTGATGAAAGCATTATATGATATTGGCCTGTCAATTTTAAAGAATAGTCTTCAAAATTTATTAATCAAATCAATAGAAAACCCGTATATTTTTGTTCTAACAAATTTAATAGAATTTCAAGTAGTAGTACTCGGGACTTTTAATTTTATTTTATGAATTTATTGAAAGTAAATTATGTATCTATGAAGTATATAGGCAAAAAGAAAAAATGAAAATACAAGGAGTAAATTATACTTTATGTTGCTAGATTAGGCATTATAATTAAAGTAAAAAATCTTCAGCATTCAAATCTAGAGGTAATATTACCTCGCCTAGAGCAGTGCTTATTCTATTAGGAGGAGATCGGACATATATTTGTGTTCGGAGTCCAGTGAACACTTACCACGTGGCACATGACGAATGAATTCCGGACATAAATTTTACATCCGGTGTCTTAGCTTGATTAGAATTTCTTGCGTAAAATGGGAAATAAACGCAGCCATGGAATTACTTACTAAGAAATTTAGTAACAAAGCAGATTAAACCAAAAAACACGGTGTATCGTCTATAATATATTTATATCATACGTCCAAGCACTTTATAATTCAGCTAAACATAGGCAAAGCACTCGCTTTATTTAATTAACAGTATCATGGCTAGAAGAATCAGGCGGCGGCGTAAATTCCAGCGGCGGCGCTTCTACGGCGGCCTCACAATATCCACGAAGAACATCGCCCTCTTGTGCGGTGAAGCCCAATACGGCGAGCAAAGCGTCGGCTGCCCAGCAACGCTTCTCGATGACCCGAATGGCTCTGCAGCAGCTCGGGCCCAAATACGTTTCTCCGTTCAGAAAGAAGAGAATTACTTCTCCGCTGCACGATCGTAGTTCAATCAGCGCTTCCCAGCATTGCCATGTTTCATCTTCCTGTTGACGCTCCGCAAGTCCGCGTGGGGGCGGGCCGAACCTTCTCGCGTCGATGCAGCAAGCAGTTATGGCTAGAAGAAGAAGAAGAAGAAGGATGCGGAGGAAAGCCATGACTCTCTCGCGGTGGTCTTCGATGGAGAACGTATAGCTATGGATTTGGTGATTGTATTTATAGATATAGAGCTAACCGTGCGTTTTAGAGTTTTAATGCAGAGAAGATGAATGATTAACATAATACATTAGCCATGAATAATTGTAAGAAACGCTGGAAGAGCAGGGGTCATTAGGATAATTAATGTGGGAAATATTGTTTGCAAATGATTTGGAGTACTGATTGCCATGAGTTGATAGCTTAAAGTCCGTTCTATACATATTGGAGGAGGACATGATATAACTCTTCATGTCGACCTCATTTCTCTACACAAATAACGGCCAATGCATGCGAAGAGCCGGAAAATAGAAGTTAACGCCGGGCTTAAACATTGATGATGATGTCATTTTCTTAACCAGTTAATTGCTTGTGTATTATTTTTGTAAAAAGGAAGGACATCAAGTTAAATTTCTCAAATGATGAAAAAAAGTTGTTGTTTTTTTGAAAATTTTCAATAATGTTATCACACCATTGTTGTAACTCTTTTACAAATAATAAAAAATCTTAACCAAAAAGATGATAGTTAGTAAGAAGGAGATTCACAAGTCTTTTCCATTACTGACTTTTAGTTATATCCACTTGAAGGTTAACCAAAACATGCAAGTAAGCTGGCAAATTTTTTGTGACATTAGCTTAAAGTAGCACCGAAATAATAAAGGGTCAAGAAACTACAATAATAGTGAAATAATTTTTGCTATATATAAAAACAATAGAAAAATAAATATTTCGATAAAGAAAAAATGAAACCGATGGCATGAAATGGAATTTCATATTGTTGCAATGGAACAATCAAAGAAGTCAAAATGAAGGGTTCGTTTACTTAATTTCATATAAAAGCCCTCAATTTTAGAAAATACAAAGCAAATACATAGCAGTTTAGGGGCCATTTGAAATCACTTTTGATTTTGAATTTTTTATTTATTGTTATTTTTTTTTTGTTTTTGCTTGAAATAAAATATTTTGGTAAATTATAGTATATTTAATTGTTTTTAAAAGCGCTTTTTTTCTTTAAGATATTTATAGTGCTTTGAAATACAAGCTAAATTGATTTGACAAACAAAAGATAAAAACAAAAAAAAAGAATATTCATAGCACAACAATGACAGAGAAATATATTCAAATGACCAACAGTCTAACAAAAATTGAAATAAATCTAAAAAAAGTTTAACACTTAAAAAATATTCAACTAGAGAAGAATGATACGACATATACTAACATTGCAAGCAAACTATCTAGTAAAGTTAACAACAATGATTGAATTTCATTTTAAAAAAAAATCAGGCAATACAGGGTTCTACCATCAAGCGAAGGGCTACCAACATGGGAAGAGAATCAAATCTATAATTCCATGCCGAAAATTGTAATATATTAATTAATCAGATGGTAGAAGTCAGACATGTAGTTCTAATAGTGTTATCCACTTGAGGTAAAGTTGGGGCTCGTAACATAAAACCATCAAACCATAACACACAGACTAATAGACGAAAGTCTATCAATGATAAAGGTACCAAACTAGAATAGGACTTATATGAGACCTCACTTTTCGACCAACCATTTATCTTGGTTTAAATTTGATTGAACATCACCTGAGCTAAAACTTGAACTAAACACTAATAAATCCTAATTTAATATTTTACTGAATGAAATTGAAAAAAAATAATAAAATAGAAGTTATATAACCAAGTTCAGCCAAACCATATATCTAACTTATAAATTAGCCTTAGCCAACAAACACCTAAATATTATTATTTTCCACAGATTTTCGTAGGGTTTGAAAATTCATACTAAAACTTGCATAATGTTTATTGTCACATGCAAACACCATGCAAATAAGTTTAATTATCATTTGATAAACGTTTCACTTCAAATTTTCATCCATGAATAGTGTTTCATGCACTATGATCTGTTCATCATATTTATATTTTATAAGTTGTATATTATTCATAATCTTATAATAGGAGCATGCAAACCAGTTGGTGGTCATTGGGCGTCATTTTAAAGTAAAATTATAGTTTTTAGGTTTTCAATCATGAAAAATGATCCCAAATAATTTTTTTTTCAATTAATCATTATTATTCAAAATAGACTATACAGATTTGTTCGGATCATTGAAATCTTTCAAATGAGCCCCTCTATGTTCAAATTTGACTTTGCTTGGTAGCCTATTCAGCCCACGATAATTTAGACGATAATTTTGATAATAAAAAGAATGATATTAAGAATCAGCTATAAATGAACCCAAATTAAAATCAAAACTCAAACAAAGTTAATATGAGCTAACAACACTTAATTTAATATATGAAAATCCACTACGTGCTTCCATTTAAAATTCACCGAAACTTTTTCTCCCAGAGTGTGGCCCACAATTTGACTTGAAATTTTGAGACGAGGCCTACTTGACAAAAATTACTTGCACCACTGAATTTTTAAATTTTTTCTCTAATAAATGAGCTAAAGTAAAATTTTGGCCATAGTCACTTAACCACTTCAAATTGAAATATTTTGTGCTAGATGCCACCTTTTTCAAAACAAATTACACCTTTAGTTTACTTGCATTTTTTTCTTCAAAATGAAGTATATTTTCCATTTTAGGTCATAAATACTATAAATAACGATGCCACCTTTTTCAAAACAAATTACACCTTTAGTCTACTTGCATTTTTTTCTTCAAAATGAAGTATATTTCCATTTTAGGTCATAAATACTATAAATAATTTTCTTCATTCTTCTGAACCCTCACTCTTCCCCTCTCATTCACTCGTGAACCTATATCCTCTCCTCTCCTCTCCACAAACTGAGAACAACTCACTCACCTCTCCTCTTCTCTTCCAACTGAGAGCCTCCTCTCTCCACCAAGGAGAAGATACTAGATTCAAGGATAAGAACACCCTCTCTCATCTAAGCCAAGGCAACCTGTAAAAACATATTCAAAGAAGGTATAGAATCTTTATCTTCTCACATGTCTTGTAGTTTTATTTGCATGATGTAGTGAATTTCCTCACTCTTTTCCTGTTCATTCAATGTTTTTTTTTTCTCCTCCTTTTTCTTTATATAACTAAAACTTATCATGACCTCATTATCCTTATCCTCTCATATATCTGAACCCATCACACAAATTTTGTCACCCATACCCTACATGAATTCTTCAAATATTCCTCACCCATACCTTACCCAAGAGTTCTCACATATTTCTCACCTACACCTTACCTAAATATCCTTATACATGCCTCACCCAAACCATATCAAAAATCATCTTCTCACCTCCTTGCTTTCACCATACTCAAAACCATCCTCCTCTTTACACCTTCACTTTTCTTAAGCCCTATCTGAAACCCTAAATACTCTAAACCTCTCATTTCTTTTATCCATACCTGAAACTTTCCTCCTCTCCACACCTTCACATTTGCTTGCACTACCCAAAACCCTAAACACACTATCCCTCTCATTAATTTCTTTACACTACCTGAAACCAAATACCAAACACAAAGCGCCCCATCTTCCGCTCCTAACCTAACTCTAAAGTTCAATGCACAACTCATGTCATCCTCCTCTCCTACCCTAACCCAATAATCCCCAAATAAATCACCACACTCCATCCTCCTCACCCTAGCCGGAAAACACCACACAATTCGTTGCACTTCCTCCTCCTCACCCTACATAAACCACACATGATCCCCACCACACAACTCGTTGCACTTAGCCACACTGTTTCGCTTTGTTTGGCATCGTTTTAGCTCTGTTTTGCCCCATTTCAATTGCGTTTGGTTTCTAACAGATAGACCTACAAAATAAGCATGAAAATAACCTTTCTTTAAAGTGTAATTTCATTCAAAAATGTGCGAGAAGTGTAAATGAGATTAAACAAAAAAAGACATATCAAAATGTGCAAAGACAAAATTTTTTTCTTGCTCATTTTTGCTCCAAATTGCACCGTTTTTGCTTCTTTTTCTCCAAAACATCATTTCTTGTCTCTGAAACCAAAAATATGCAAAATTTCTTCCTTCAAAGCGTAATATCATTAAAAATCATTAAAATTGAGCTTAAAATATATATGAAAAAGTAGTCATTTCTTAGGCGTATCGTGAATCTTCCATGCTTAATTTGTAAGCAAGTTGTGGCCTTCTGTGTATTCATGCAAGTTGTAACATTATTTTTATTCATGTAACTTGTGCCCTTATGTCTATTGATGCAAATACTTATGCGAGTAACTATGAAATCTAATTGTAAAACATGTTTAGGATAGCTAAGAAAAAATTATATATATATATA